AGGAGGGGGGGGGGGGTCGTGTCGTGGAGTGGACCAATAAATACAGACTTATTGCAATTCAGATAAAATAATTCAATAAAGAGAAACACGCAAGTGGGTTATAGATCAAACGCCAAGTTGGAAACTATTCATCCAATTTTTGGTGTATTTTCATATATATTCTTTTTTCCTTTCACTTATATTTCATCTTTAGTTGTTATTATTCAGCATGCGCATTGATTATGGGACTTTGGTAATGTCATATTTTACGTGAAGAGTTGAAAGATATATCATATACATACATACATATATATATATATATTTATGAAATATCTATATCTATATATATATATATATATATATATATTTGCATAATAAAGAACCTTATTTGATATGCAAATATGTAATTTTCGGGACCAAAGTTGGTGGGGTTTCCATTCCAAGCACAGACGTGTTTGTGTTGAGAAAGAACATAGTATCAGTAGATGCTTTCCTTGTAAATCTCTGTGGTCCTCTTGACATTCTTGGCATAAGATCATAACGATTCTACTTACTTTTGTATTTTACTGAATATTTTATAATAATCTATATAATATAAAATACGAATGCACGTTAGGTGTCCATTCTCCACGTGCCGTGGGAAAACTAGATGAAATTCTTTTATTATTGAAGGTACCGCAAGTCTTTTCACGAGATTTCATTGGTTTCTTCCCCACAATTCTATTGAAAATTTGATACAACCGCCTAAAATTCTATAGATGTTTTCTTTTTGGTGAAACGTCAAACCCTTAGGAGGACAAGATCCTGATTTGCTGACTCCTCATTGGTCGGTGTCGACCGTGTGGGACCCACAGGAGACCTGAGTTTCAGTTCAGATCTAAGGACCGTACGGGTCAAGCCATCCGATCACACCGTGAAGATCGAGGTACTTAAATATTCATATCTCCAATCGATAAAGAGACGAAGAATCTCGAGAGAATAAATTTTTAAACAAATTCATCTAAACCTATTATCCCCACACCTACAAATTCGAACCCAAAAATCGGATTCTCCCCGTAGCCTAACCCATAGGGTGGACAAAATACCGAACCCTAAATAATCGAATCCAAAACAATCGTAAACCGAATAAATCGAATCCGAATTAACCGTAACCGAATATATCCGTTCATCCATCCATATATCATCAATTAATATGCAATATATTCTAAATCTAATTAAAAAAATTAAAATAATGATATTGTTTTATATAACTATGGTATATAAAAAAACAAAATATACATGTATTTTAATATTGTTTTTGTTATTTTTATAAGATATTTGTCTGAATTTTTTTATCGTTTTTTTTGTTTGGATAACCCGAACCAAATCCGATCCGAACCGATCCGAATCCGAACCGATTAAAAAAATATAACCGATTAGATATAAATATTTCAAATCCGAACTCGAAATAATCAAATCCGATTAAACCGAAGCCGCACAATCGCCCACCCCTACTCGTACCCAATTTCCAAATAGCCGATCTTGGATACTTGAAAATTCGGAAGCCAGTGCCAAATCCTATGTGCAAGAATTGTCGGCAACGGACATACACAGAGAAAGTAAACACTATGAATAACTAGAATTTGCAATAATAATAAGGGTGACACCCCGCAACAAGCAACTTATGATTGTTTTAAGTTCTCTTCTCTTCCCCTCTCTTATTCCAGCGAGAAAACGAGAGAGCTTTCTAAAGGGATCATGGCCATGGCGGCGGCATGTATGTAAACACATACATACATACATATATGTTATGTATATATATATGGAGATGGGGGGTTTGAGAACAGAGAAAATCAAGCAGCGGCGACGTAGTTCTCCCATGTGCCGTACTTGGAGCTGAAGGTACCACCTCCGAACTGCTGAGCGTACTCGCAGATAACGGCTCGAGCACATCCGTCCCACGTCTTTGCTATATCTTTCAGCGTCATCGGTTGCGACAAACTCCTCAGCGATATGCTGAACCTAGCCCTAGCTTTCGTCGACAGGTCTTCTTCATTCTCTTTGCTGTTTTACCAAAAGACATGACAGGAACTTATGTCCGGAACGCTGTTTCATGATTCGGGTTTTGTAAAAATCTTTGCTTTTTTTCTTTACCTTGTTTCAACCGGGAGTTTATCCAACAGAACCGGAGAGGACATCGGGTAGCCAGCGGGAACCAACAGACGCAGCGGTTGGATCGGGGACTAAAAAAAGCAGAAGAAAAGGATACGATTAGATCAAAAGGAATCTCTGTTTTGCTTTTGAGAGAGGTGAGAAATGTTTACCATTTGTGTCGAAGAGAGATGAGATTTCAACGACGGGCTCAGAGATATGGCTATGAACGAGAATCTGACAATGGTTCCTTCACCCCCTTCCGTTGTTGCGGCTACTGCACTCGGATCCGCATCTTCATCACTAATCTCAACCACTGTATCAATCAGTCCCTGGTTTATTTTCTTGATTTCTTCCATCAGAGCACGATTGGTCTGCAAGGCCCAACATCAAGATTAAGTCTTTATAATCATAAATTCCGACATATTCACGGGAAGTGTAAACGAAAACTGAACCTCGGTTCTTGGCCTCTTGCCGGAAGAAGTAGCAGTAGATTCAAGATCAGAAGTCTCCGGGCCACCAAACTGCTTGAAGTTATCACTAATGCTTCCTCCTCCTGATGAAGCAACACTTAACGGCACAGCCGTGGTGTGACGCTTCATTTTCTTCGTCCCCATCATCCCATCTTGAGTCATGAAGTTTCTTGCTTGAAGACGACACTTTGTCATCGCGACCAAGTCCTCGCCAACCGAAGCTCTCGACCCATTACCAGGAGCTGAACCAGCTATCCGATCCACCATGCTAACTACGGACCCGATATCACTGACCGCTGCTGAAAGAGCCTGAGCTGAGACAGACTTCATCTGATAACAGAGAGAGAAAGCTCCCCATATTCAAGAAAAACGTTGATACTGATAAAGTAGAGCTTAAGCAACAGATAAGGTTTTACTTACAGCTCTAATCAGGCGTTCGATAGGCTGTTCAGTGGCACTTGACTTGCCAGATGCACTTGTCAGAGGATTTACATTGACTCCATCAGGACTAGTAAACTCCTGAAGCAGAGGAGAGGCAGATATCCCGGGGGTGCCGATAGCAAGGGATTGAGCTACACCTTGCATTCCAGTTGCTTGTTGGCGTGCAATATTTCCAGCATTCGACAATGAAGATGCACCGGTCACGGGTTTCTCAGAATCAACTGGCATAGGGGATGGCACCAAGGGAGTTGAAGGAGATGGGACAACAAATGGAGAATTTGCAGATTGTAAAGGAGTTCCTGTCCTGTTGGCAGCTGAAAGATTTTTCTGGTCCTGAGGAGACATATGTTGTGCCATCTGTGGAGATGCACCTTGCGGGAGTTGAGGCGACGAAACAGAAAGTTGCCCTCCAGGTTTTAACCGTTGAAGAGGATAACCACGTTGACCTTGTAATGGATGTTGTTGAAACATTCCACGGCTGCCATTCATTCCCTGCCTCATTGTCAGATCATTCACATCGTTCATCTGCTGTAGTTGAGCCATTTGCTGTCTTGCTTGCAACTGTTGTTGCTGTTGCTGTTGCTGTTGTTGCTGTTGCTGCTGCTGATGATTAAGCATCTGATGCTTCTGCATCAGTTGTTGTTGCATCTGACGTTGTTGAAACTGTTGTTTCAGTTGCTGTTGATCCTGCTGTTGCTTCAAGTGCTGATGCTGAAGCATACCGGGATTTGACTGGGCGAGAGTAACGTTAGACTGCAATGTATTTAGCCCACTCTGTGTAGAGGCCGAACTATTATTCACTTGTTGAGGAGGATTTTGTTGCACCCCAACCTGCTGACCATTGTTCAGTGCATTCCCTTGGCTTGCTTCTATACTAGGAGCCAGTATTGAATTGGACATGTTCTGTTGTGGAGCCGAAACTCCAGGAAGAGATGATAGAGCATTGTGCTGCAAATTCGACAGGCCACTCTGTTGAGATCTTGCCACAGAACCTTGTATGTTCATCGGTTGCATCTGAGGGTTTGCTTGATTATCATGAGACTGACCTTGAACGGTCTGAGATTGAAGCTGTTGCATCTGAGATTGTGGAAGCTGCTGCCCTGGCTGCAGTGGCCTCCTCGGTTTGTTCGCATTCAAGAAATTTACAATCTGCTTCTCGTATGAACCCACCTTATCCTTCAAAGCAGGCAAGATATTGGGCTTTGTAACAGATAAGAAATTTATCATCCGTTCCAACATTATCTTGAATTGTTTCAGTTTGTCAAACTGGTCCGACCTTTGCTGCTGCGGAAGAGATTCATGCTGAAAACAAAAAGGAACATTTTCAATACAGGGAACAAAATACAGAAACGCAAGTTACAATTTCCTTAAGGGTTCAAAAGGACAGAACCGGAGAGGACTGTTAGTAAGAATTAAGTACCTCATTAGACTAAAAAGTCATAGAACTATCTTTTGCCAATTACGAGACGAAGTACTGCATTGAGTCTATACAAATCCCAACAATTAGGTACTAACCATTGTTCTAATGACATAAACATGCAATCAGAGGAAAATATCCGCATCTCAAAAGAAAAAAATGTCTATTAACTTACATGCTGCATCTTTAGTGCAACTCTCTGGTAAATTTCATTCAGATCCGGTAAGAATGACTCTCTCATGGATTTGATCTGCAGAGAAAGGAACAATGGTCAAAGGCACGGTACTCTGTGTTAGAGTCTTGTTGCATTAGCTCACTTGAGTTGAGGATGTAGTTATGTTTACATATAATGAAAGAAGGAAATAGAATGCAAAATACATCAAACATAAGATAAATAACAATAAGAAATTTAAAAGGAATGTTGACTTATTAAATCGTGTATTGGGAGATTTCTGGACGCTAATAGCAAGATTGGAAGCAGCAAGCATATACCTCACTTATAAAGAAAATAAAAATTCCGGATTACCTTCTGATATACCTCCTCTTGCCAATCACCCCCATTTGCATTTCCTGTTTGTGCTGTGGAATCCAATGATGCTAATATAATCAAACAAGTGGGTTTTTTTTTTCAACATCAGATCCTGTTGAGAGGTTCTGTAAAAAATGCCGGCATCTAAAACCATCAAAAGGATGCAAAGACAAGACTTACTTGATGGCATCTCAGGAAGGGTTCTTTGTGATTGATATAATTGTCTCTGTTGATCCATTACATTCTGAGGCTGAAGCATGGACCCAGCCACTTGGCCTGAAGCTTGAAGCCTTTGATGCACATCATGTTGCATTAGATTAGGTTGTTGTTGCAGACCTAGTTGCTGATGATGCGATTGCTGCTGAGGCATCATCTGCTGCTGTGATGACTGATTTTGTGATTGCTGGCCTTGAGAAGGTAACAAGCCAGTACCAGCCTGATGTGTCCTTTGCTGTAGTCCAACCTTAGATTGTGATAGCATGTGCATTGACTGCTGATTAGACTGCAGGTTTGAATTACCAACCTGGGAACCGAGTAACTGTTGTTGCGGTTGCTGCAATCCCGAAATATTATTTTGAGCACCCAATTGTTGCTGATGCATTGCCTGAAGGCTGTTTTGCTGAGACATCAATTGCTGTTGTGCTGGCTGCGGCTGCTGCTGCTGCACCTGTGGTTGTTGTTGTTGCTGCTGCTGCTGCTGCTGCTGCTGCTGAATGTTCATAAGATTATTTTGTTGGCCCATTATCCTCTGTTGATGTGGTTGTTGCTGATGCATATCCCCAACAACGTTTTGCTGCCCGATCATCTGATTCTGTTGGACGCCTGAGCTATTTGCAGCTTGTTGCCGCATCAGTTGTGCTTGCTGCTGCTGTAGGGTGGGTATCGACTGCTGTGGCAATGGGTTTTGCTGTTGATGAATCCCAGAAATTTGTTGCGATTGCTGATTTGGCCTCAGCAAGGATGATTGATGCTGCCGCAGCATGGACTGTGTCTGCTGATGACCAGACAACTGTTGATTTGTGTGGAGACCCGACAGAGGAGCTGAGTTCACCGAGGAAGGCTGCATAACAGATGTTGGAATACCGGGCTGCTGAGATGTATGCAATTGATTAGGTTGTAACACATTTTGCTGCGGCTGCTGCATGTGAGATTGCATAAGCGAATTGGGTACATTCCCCTGCTGAAAGTTCTGCTTAAGAAGTTGTTGTTGTAGCTGCTGCTGATAAAGATATTGTGCATTCTGTGGCTGCGGCTGCTGAGAAGTCATACCATGTGGCCTCCCTGCCATCTGCCTCTGTGACCCTGAAAGCATGTTCGATGCAAGGCCCTGCCCCATTGAAGTCCCTGATGAATCTTGTAGCATTCCGGATACATTTTGCACATTGGAAATCTGGCCTAAGACCCCCGTATTATTATTGGATATGGAAGAGACCTTAGGCATAGAAGACGGAAGAGTAGCAGAACCCGGAATTCCAGAGGCTAAGTTAGTCTGCATGTTCTGGGACAACAGCTGTTGTGATGTTTGAGACTGATTTGTTGGTAATGATGCCGGAAGAGATTGCCCTTGGTTTTGAACTTGAGATGGCATGCTTGTGGATCCTACTCCAGGAAAGGAGTAGCACCAATACAGACATCAAATTAGAGGAACATCCATCCATAAAAACCAGATGGAACATACTTAAGCGGTTCATGCATGAGTATCTATGCTTAACCACCACAAATAAGAGCAATTAATTCAAAACTCGTTTTCAAATCATATACATTAGCATAACTAGCAACTGTAGTTCCTCATACGAGACCAGGTTAAAAAGTCCCGTAAAAAAAATCCATTGAAAGTGACACAAGTAGGAGACTATCTGGTGTAGAGTACTATGATACTATCCCGTTTCTTTTTGTTCATCCTTATATTTTAGTTCTTCGTTTTGGTTATACGAATTTCAGTTAGGCTACTAGCTTTTTCCTTCTAAAGCCTGGTAAAAAGTTTTATCTAGAATTCTGTCAACAGATCCAGTTTTCAGATATTATTCTTGTTTCTCTTTAAGTTTCAACTATGTATGAAACTTCAGCCACACCATAAGGGATTTCAATGTGGGAGAAATATTCCTGTGTTGAGAATTTAAAAAGTCTTAAGGGCTCGAATCATTATTACCAGAATCCAAGGGAGTGTTATTATTAGCGGCAGAGATGGATGTCGTCGTCGAACCAGCAGCACTATTTTGAGTCTTAGTCTCCATTGTCAGCATCTTCATGGATATTTTGCGAAGGTAATCAGTCTAAAACATGCATCAAAAGTAAATGAGATCAGAAAAGCCCACCATCAACCAAGAACGTACAAAGGTTGAATTCCAGTCTTTTTCTTTTTCATTTTATGGAAGGATCAAAGCAAAAAATTCCTATGTGTTCGAAATTTCTCTATTTTTCAGATTAAATGGCAAAAGCACTTGTTCATAGAATAATAGGACATTTAATTACCTGATTAATAGCGCCAGAGAAAATTTTTTCCTCGAATCTAGCAGCAATTCTCCTGAGCTCATTAATTCCCTCCGGCCCAGAGAATGGAAGGTGCTTTTTCAGTGTCTCCATTCTGCAGATGGCAAGTGACTAAGTTAGAAAGAAATAGTGGTCAACAAAACATGTAATGAATAACCTTCCATATGAACGAGCATAAAATTAGATGAGGGATAGTATTTCCGAAAGAATGAAAACCCCCACTTCGAAAGACAGCACATGTTATCATAAACTTACATTTTGTTGACGATCTTTTGTCGTGAATCAGGGGGTAACTGAGCTCTCCAATCGCCTGCATCAATGGCAGGTTCTCCGCCTGGAAGAGTAGGCCTCCAATTATTATTGTCCATCAGGTTTCCTACGTTCACAAGCAATATAGAACAAAGCTTCAAAGAGAGGCTTACAAATCCACAAGAAAACCGATAGAGAAAACGAATGAAAACTGAAAGTGGATACTCCAAATGAAGGTGGAAAAATGGTGGACAATGATCAAGCAAGCAATTGGCACATAATTTCTTATGAATCACAGACCAGACACTACAAGCTGCGAAACACATTGAAACTAAATCCAACAAAACTCTTTATGTCCCCCCCCTC